CCAGCTCCATCCCTAGGACCGCCTGGGTTGGCTGTCCAGCCTCTCCTAGGGTGGACAGGATGCAAACCCACCACCCTGCGCTCCCATGGCAAATACCCCTATCCCCAAGCCACTCCAGAATCCAACCTACCTCCAACGAGTCCCTTATTCAGCCATCCTAATGCAAGAGCCCAAGCCATCCCTGGGGAAGCCTTGCTGGCTAACCAACTGCTCCCAACTGCTCCCAAGGTGGGTTGGGCTCAAGCCTGACACCCTGTGCTCCTCAGGCAAATGTCCTATGCCCTCGTCCACCCAAGAACCCACCCCACCTTCAGAGCATCCCTTATCCTGCATTCCTGATATGGGAGGCAGCTTGATCCCTGGGACAGCCTGTGTTGGCTGTCTGGCTGCTGCCTGGGTGGGTAGAGTGTGGGCCAGGGACTCTAGTCCACCACACCCTGTGCTCCAGACACTGGTACCCTATTCCCTAGGCTACTCCAGAGCTCACTCCACTTCCCGAGGGACTCTTATCCTGTGCTGGCTGGAGTGAGGACAGGACTCAAGCCTACCACCCTGTGCTTCCCAGGCAAATGGCCTGAGGGACTCTTATCCTGTGCTGGCTGGTGGGTGGAGTGGGGACAGGACTCAAGCCTATCACCCTGTGCTTCCCAGGCAAATGGCCTATCCCCTAGGCTACTCCAGAACCCAGCCCATCTCCTGTCCTTCAGTAGGTCCCTTATCCTGCCTTCCTAAGGCAAGCGTCGGCTTCATCCCTGGGGCAGCCTGTGTTGGCTGTCCAGCCGCTCCCAGGGTGGAGGGAATGGGGGGGAGGGACTCAAGCCCCCAATCTTGCACTCCCCAGGCAAATGCCCTATCCCCTAGGCCACTCCAGAACCCACGGCACCTCACTACCTGCAAGATGTCCCTTTCCACACTCTGAACCCCTTGGCCCAAGACCAGAGCCTGCACCCCAACCCTCTTCCCCAGCCTGGTGAAAGTGAATGTGTTTCGGGGGAAGGGGGATGGAGTGAGCAGGGTGAAACCTCGGAGAAGGGGTGGAGCAGGATGAGACCTCAGAGAAGGCAGGGAAAGTAGACGGGCAAGAGTATTTTGGTTTGAGGTAGATCTTACATTTCACTTAAATTGAAGAAGTGATCTTGTGGTTAAAAAGGTTGCAAACCACTGCTCTATGGAGTTACATTGGTGTAATTGAGATCAGATATGGCCCACTAATTCATTGTATTCTAATTATTTATAGCTAACTGAGATCTGAACTGGTAGATTGCTGTGCTCCAATTTTAAGCAGTTTGACTAGGCAGCCACCAGAATTTGATGGGTAACCAGAATTTTAATGTTACTCCTATTGCTGCAAAATCAGATTTCTCATAGTGTGGTGTTGGCTTCAAGTGGCATCACATTACATTGCAGAAATATAAAGAGTATATTTTCAAGTATTAATTTAGTAGCTGGGGGGAGAGTGTTTAGTCTCTGCTAGGAAATTTTTGGATTTATTTGAAATTACATCCAGTCTAATTACATCCTGTGTGTCTACCAGTCTAATTGTGATCTGTTTCTCTGGAGTCTGGGAATTCTGGATATTCAGGCTTTGAGTACCTGTCTCCTGCAGTCCTTCCTTTAAGGCAAACTGAAAGGTGGAAGTAGTGTTACTGTTAAAAGCTCACGTAGCTTTAATGCTTAGAAGACAATTAAATCAGGACCCTATTTTTGTAGGAGTAAGAGGAGTATCAGTGACCAGGCCAAAGGATGAAACCAACAGCCTCTTTGTGAACACCAAATTCCCTTTTTAAACTGGAGAAGCTTTTCCTGTTGGAAAAAAATTACACTTTTACTACAGCAAAACAAGGCTGACTGTTGATGAACATAAGAACGGCCGTACTGGGTCAGACCAAAGGTCCATCTAGCCCAGTATCCTGTCTACCGACAGGGGCCAGCACCAGGTGCCCCAGAGAGGGTGGACCGAAGACAATGATCAAGCGATTTGTCTCCTGCCATCCTTCTCCAGCCTCTGACAGACAGAGGCCGAGGACACCATTTTATCCCCTGGCTAATAGCCTTTTATGGACCTATCCTCCATGAATTTATCCAGCTTCTCTTTAAACTCTATTATAGTCCTAGCCTTCACAGCCTCCTCTGGCAAGGAGTTCCACAGGTTGACTATGTGCTGTGTGAAGAAGAACTTTCTTTTATTAGTTTTAAACCTGCTCCCCATTAATTTCATTTGGTGTCCTCTAGTTCTTCTATTTGGGGAACTAACAAATCACTTTTCTTTATAGGCCCTCTCCACATCACTCATGATTTTATATACCTCTATCATATCCCCCCTCAGTCTCCTCTTTTCTAAACTGAAAAGTCCCAGTTGCTTTAACCTCTCCTCATATGGGACCCGTTCCCAAATCCCTAATCATTTTAGTTGCCCTTTTCTGAACCTTTTCTAAGGCCAAAATATCTTTTTTGAGGTGAGGAGACCACATCTGTACACAGTATTCAAGATGTGGGCGTACCATAGTTTTATACAGGGGCAGTAAGATATTCTGGGTTTTATTTTCTATCCTTTTCCTAATAATTCCTAGCATCCTATTTGCCTTTTTGACCGCCACTGCACACTGCGTGGAAGCTTTCAGAGAACTGTCCACGATAACTCCAAGATCTCTATCCTGATTTGTCGTAGCCAAATTAGCCCCCATCATACTGTACGTATGATGCCTAAATAAAAGTGCACTTTGATAATCTGTATTTCTCTTTAGGATTGACATGTATGTGGAAGGAACAACTGACCTAATGGGGCTAATTTTAATGTGCCCTTTTTTATCATCCGAAGAGAAGGAGAAGCAGCACACTGTAATAATCCAGAAGGCCACAAACAGATACTTCCCAGTCTATGAAAAGGTGTGTGGCAAAATATATTTCTTCACTCATGTTACCTTTCAGAGCTCTGTATTGATGCAATGTAAGATCATAGAATGAGCACACTCTGCATACCTTTATCAGATATAAAGTTGTTTACATTTCGGAAGAATAGGGACTGCTTTTGATCAACGTTCTAACAAGTAAATCACACAGCAAGATATTAACAGGAGATTGCTCAACCCAAAATCAGATGAAGAAACAAGTACCTAAATGTCTGACTTTAATGTTTAAGACAGAAAATTGTGTTTTGGGACATTTCAAGCTGGAGGACATACTGCCACTACTAAAACATCACTAGATGTTTCTAAAAATTATAGATTACAATGCCTCATGATAATAAGTTATTAGGGGTAATTCTATAAAAGGTTTCATTCTGTCCAATAGAGGAATAAATCATTCTACTAAAAACAGATGATTGCCTAAGTACAAGTGATTGCAGCTTAATTTATGTGGAAACACAATATAGTCCCAGACAATAAGCACCAATTTCCCAAAGCTGAAGAACAAACTTGAGTGGGAAGAAAAATATAAAACATAAAAATGTGAATAGTTGGAAGTTTACTAAAAATCCTGTTAGATGCTTCCTACCCACTTTCTTCCTATTCCAAAATCTTGAAAGAAGGCTTCTTTAGGTTGAATAGTTCTTCAAAAACCTGGTTAAAACATTGAGTGAAATAATAAACTTCTATATATAAAACAAATAGAAAAATGGGGAGGCTATTAGCAAATCAGGTGGTAGTTAAGGAATGCAGATAATTGAGAACAGCAGCTAAAAAAATGATGGCCAGTAGAGGTCTGAAGACAGTGAAGAAGCAATTATTCAAATATAGCAAAATAAACTGAGCCTTAGCAAGGGTATAGATCTGATATGAAATAAGGTTGATAATTGTCAATCATGATGGGAAAGAGGTGGACAGCCCTTGGTGGGGGAAGAACAAGTTAGGAACTATTTAGAAAAGCTAAACATACACAAATCCATGGGCCCAGATTTAATGCACCCGAGGGTACTAAGGAAATTGGCAAGTGTTATTGCGGAGTCTTTGGCCATTATCTTTGAAAACTTGTAGAGAGCGGGAGAGATCCCGGAAGACTGGAAAAAGGCAAATGTGGTGCCCATCTTTCAAAACAGAGAAGGAGGACAATCCAGGGAACTACAGATCTGTCAGCTTTACCTCAGTCCCTAGAAAAATCATAGAGGGGATCCTCAAGGAATCCATTTTGAAGCACTTAGAAGAGGGGAAAGTGATCAGGAATAGTCAACATGGATTCACGAAGGGCAAGTCGTGCCCGACCAATCTGATTAGCTTCTATGATGAGGTAACTGGCTCTGTAGACATGGGAAAGTCAGTGGATGTGATATACCCTGACTTTAGCAAAGCTTTTGATACGGTCTCCCACAATATTCTTGCCAGCAAATTAAGGAAGTATGGGTTGGATAAATGGACTATAAGATAGAGAGAAAGCTGGCTAGACTGTCGGGCCCAATAAGTAGTGATCAACAGCTCGATGTCAAGTTGGTGGTCGGTTTCTAGCGGAGTGCTTCAAGTGCTTCTTCGACCGGTTTTGTTCAACATCTTTATTAATGACCTGGATGAGGGGATGGATTGCACCCTCAGCAAGTTTGCAGATGACACTAAGCTAAGGGAAGAGGTAGATATGCAGGAGGGCAGGGATAGGTTCCAAGGTGACCTGGACAGATTAGAGGATTGGACCAGAAGAAATCTGATAAGGTTCAACAAGAACAACTGTAAAGTCCTGCACTTGGGACAGAAGAATCCCAAGCATGGCTGGGGACCGAATGGCTAAGTAGCAGTTCAGCAGAAAAGGATCTGGGGATTACAGTGGATGAGAAGCTGGATATGAGTCAACAATGTATCGTTGTAGCCAAGAAGCTAATGGCATATTGGGGTGCATTAAGAGGAGCATTGCCAGCAGATCCCGAGAAGTGATTATTCCCCTTTATTCGGCTCTGGTTAGTTCACATCTAGAATATTGTGTCCAGTTCTGGGGCCCCCCATTATAGAAAGGATGTGAACGCATTGGAGAAGGTCCAGCGGAGGGCGACCAAAATAATTAGGGGGCTGGAGCACATGACCTATGAGGAGAGACTGAAGGATTTGTGTTTGTTTAGTCTGCAGAAGAGAAGAGTGAGGGGGGATTTGATAGCAGCCTTCAACTTCCTGAAGGGAGGTTCCAAAGAGAATGGAGAAAAGCTGTTCACAGTAAAAGTGACGAGGAGTCCTGTGGCACCTTATAGACTAACTGAAGTGTAGGAGCATAAGCTTTCGTGGGCAAAGACCCACTTCGTCAGATGCATCTGACGAAGTGGGTCTTTGCCCACGAAAGCTTATGCTCCTACACTTCAGTTAGTCTATAAGGTGCCACAGGACTCCTCGTCACTTTTGCAGATTCAGACTAACATGGCTACCCCTCTAATACTTGTTCACAGTAGTGACAGATGGTAGAACAAGGAGCAATGGTCTCAAGTTACAGTGGAGGAGGTCTAGATTGGATATTAGGAAAAACTATTTCCCTACGAGGGTGGTGAAGCACTGGAATAGGTTACCTAGGGAAGTGGTGGAATTTCCATCCCTAGAGGTTTTTAAGTCTCGGCTTGACAAAGCCCTGGCTGGGTTAATTTAGTTGGGATTGGTCCTGCCTTGGGCAGCGGGCTGGACTTGATGACCTTCTGAGGTCTCTTCCTGCTCTTTGATTCTATGTATTTGGCTAGACTGTCGGGCCCAACAAGTAGTGGTCAACACAGCTCAATGTCAAGTTGGCGAGTAATTGGATATTTCTGTTTTATTTGGGTAATGAAGCTGGATGATGTATTAAATCTTTACAGTGGTGAAATATCTTCTGTTCCATCATTAACTATAGAAGATATTTAACAGAAATTATTAGCCAGTCCTGGAGATCTAAAAATGTTTAAGTTTGATCCTAGACTGACTGACTTACATAAAATATTCAGAGGGGTAGCCAAGTTAGTCAGTTATAGAAAAAACTTAAAAAACAACAAATAGTCTAGTAGCATCTTAAAGACTAACAAAACATGTAGATGGTATCATGAGCTTTTGTGGGCACAACCTACTCCTGTCATCTGAAGAAGAAATATTCTAACTGTCTCTGGCCCACTTATTATTTACTTTAATGTGTACCAACTTCAACCGGACAGACTGAGGGAATCCCAGTTCAGAATGTTTGGTTAGGGTGCTTCCCAAAGGTGGCGGATCTATATTCAAATTGGGGAATTTTGAACCAGGGATCTCCCATGTCCTAGGTGAGTATCCAAATAACTAGAGACATGGTTCTAAAGAAAGCACCTACTCTCTTTTTCCAGTTCTGTTTTAGGCCCCACATGCAAGTTAAGTGACCGAACCCCTGTCTTCTCCAGTTTGGGAATTGCAAGCAGAACGAGGTTCCTCCCTGCAGCCGTCATTTAGGTGCCTAGCTCTGTGAGGGAAGGGTGTAGGAGACACCCTTCTCATAAGCATCTCCTCTTGGCTAGCTTAGGCAGCTTCCTGGCTAGCTGACTTTGTGGAATACATTCCAAGGCACTTTTTTCTGCCCAGGCATTGTCTAGGAGCCTACATGCCTAACTTGGCTTTGTCAGTCACATACTTATTCCTGAGATGACTTTTTCCCCTCTATCCTACCTACTTACAACTTTTATGTGGCACTCAACATTGCAACATCTAAGTCCCTCTCAATGCACCTGGCTTCCACAGGATGTTTATGGCACAACAGGAATTGAACTGGCTTCTCCTATGGCCTAGCTACACTTATTCCTGTTACACAGTAGAAAAAGGTAACTGCAAAGAGGTCTAGCAAGTTTCATAGGGTATGTCTACACTACCCCGCTAGTTCGAACTAGCGGGGTAGTGTAGACATACCCTATGAAACTTGCTAGACCTCTTTGCAGTTACCTTTTTCTACTGTGTAACAGGAATAAGTGTAGCTAGGCCATAGGAGAAGCCAGTTCAATTCCTGTTGTGCCATAAACATCCTGTGGAAGCCAGGTGCATTGAGAGGGACTTAGATGTTGCAATGTTGAGTGCCACATAAAAGTTGTAAGTAGGTAGGATAGAGGGGAAAAAGTCATCTCAGGAATAAGTATGTGACTGACAAAGCCAAGTTAGGCATGTAGGCTCCTAGACAATGCCTGGGCAGAAAAAAGTGCCTTAGAATGTATTCCACAAAGTCAGCTAGCCAGGAAGCTGCCTAAGCTAGCCAAGAGGAGATGCTTATGAGAAGGGTGTCTCCTACACCCTTCCCTCACAGAGCTAGGCACCTAAATGACGGCTGCAGGGAGGAACCTCGTTCTGCTTGCAATTCCCAAACTGGAGAAGACAGGGGTTCGGTCACTTAACTTGCATGTGGGGCCTAAAACAGAACTAGTTGAGTAGGCTAGTGCAGTGGTTTTCAAACTATGGGTTGTGACCCCGTACTGAGTTGTGAAATGTCAGGCACTGGGTCTCGTTGTTGCATGGGGATCAGGTGATCAGAGGGGGTGCTAAAGCAGGCTCTCTGCCTGTCCTTGCACTGCAGACTGCACTGTGCCCTAGAAGCAGCTAGCAGCAGGTCTGGCTCCTAGGTGCGGGGTGGGAGAGAGAACACGCAGGGCTCTGTGCATTGCCCGTATCCCGAGCTCTAGGTCTGTGCTCCCATTGGCTAGGAACCTGCTGCTGGCTGCTTCTGGAAGCAGCATGGTCTGCAGTGCCAGGAGAGGCAGGAAGCCTCCTTTAACCCCCTCCCCCAGATGTGTCTTTTAGTGGGAGTTGGTCAAGGTAAGTCCCTCCAGCCCCAGCCCTGGTGCCCTCAAAGCCGGAGTCCCCTCCTATGCCCCAAAGCTCTCGTCCTCAGTCCCATCCTGGTGCCCACACTCTAGTCAAATTATGTTGGGTCACAAGCATCAACAGTTTTCTTCAACTGGGTCATGAGAAAAAAAGTTTGAAAACCACTGGTCTCAGTCACTAGACATTGGCTTGAGCAGTTTGAAAGGTACCAGTCAGAGTTCCCAGTGTTCAGACTGGCATTTCTTTGTGCATATATTTTGTATCTTGCAGGTTTTAAAAGACCATAGACAAAATTTTCTTGTTGGTAATCAGTTCAGCTGGGCGGATGTTCATCTGCTTGAAGCCATTTTAATGGTAGAGGAGAAGAATTCCAGTGTTCTCTCAGAGTTCCCTCAGTTACAGGTAACTACACTAACAAGTAATATAAGCACTCGATAAAAATGTGACAGAGCCACTTGACAGATAAACCTTTGCACATATAGCAAGGTTTTTTTTTCCCAAAACACTGCACAAACACAAATGATTCTGCAACTTTGTCATTCTGTGGACTCTTTATTTACTCTGCCTTCCTAGTCCCTTCCTTCTGGAAAATTCTCTCATAAATGCTAGAGATTAAAAATGAATAGAGAATGAGATTCCTGTTATAGAAATCAGTACTTTGGCTGAAATTCTGTACGACGGTTTTTCATTTCCTTTTCAGTTTTGTGGGGCTAGTCAATAGATGTTGGCTAGAGATCATAAGATGTGACTTGTTCTTGCCTGAATAATGCAGAATTGCAGGTGCATAATAAACATTCTTTATACATTTCAAGGTGAGAATACTCTTTCCTGGGATGGTTGCCCTGAAAAGCCTTCCTAGAGGAGGTCATCATCTCTTGAGGTTTCTTAGGTGGCTAACCATAAAGCCACACAAGGTGATAAGCATGAGAAGCATACATCCAGTGTGTTGGGAATCCTGAACTGGTTGCTGAGAACTATAGGTTGCATCTCCCTAAACCAGGGCTCTCTTCTCCAGCAACATCTGTGGTACCACGAATGTTCCTGAACGAGAGAGTCCCGGGGCTGGTGAGCCAGCAGCTGAGAGCCCCCCGCATGGCAAGACTGATGGTAGCGGGGCAAGGTCCTCAGCAGCCCAGTGGCAGTAGCAGGGCCGTAGTAGCGAAGCAAGGGCAGCCGGCAACCCAGCTGGGGTCAGGGCAGCCCATGCATGCTGGCCGGGCAGCAGGGCTGATGCCACAGCAGCCTAATTGGGGCTGCATGCCAGCTCTGCAGCAGAGACAGGACCACAGCAGCCTAACAGGGAGCAAGGCTGGGCTGCAGCAGCCCAGCAGGGAAAGCCTGTCTGGGGCCATGGCAGCTAAGCTGGGGCTGTGGCAATTCAGCTGGAGCCAGGGCAGGCCGGCAGCCCAATCAGGGCTTCATGTCGGCCCGGCAGCGGGGCTGGTGCCACAGCAGCAGGGTTGGGGCTGCGTGCCATGGGGCTGGCAGTGGGGCCAGGACAGATGTGTCACCTGTCCAGCAGGGTAGGCTGAAGGAGCTGGCAGTGGGTAGAGTGGCAGTCTGAGGGGGCCGGTGGTAGGAGTCCTTCCCTGTCCAGCAAACCTCCTCACCCGGGACCGCTCCAGTCCCAAGAGTGCTGCACCAGGGAGGTCCAACCTGTACTATCTTCTCCAGACCTGAAGAACAACTCTGTGGCTTGAAAGCTTGTCTCTTTCACCAACAGAAGTTGGTCCAATGAAATATACTACCTCACCCATCTTGCCCACTTAATCTCTGGCATTCTTAGAGCTAAATGGCAACCAAACACTTTCCTCTTCAGTCAGGTTCTTTGCTTTTACACAAATTGATGTAATTTTTTCTCTCGCTTTCTGAACTTTAAATGTCTCACTGCAATGTTTCTCGTTTAGGCTTTTAAAGCAAGAATAAGCAATATCCCCACAATTAAGAAATTTCTGGAGCCTGGCAGCCAGAGGAAACCTGTCCCGGATGATAAATATGTGGAGACTGTGAGGCGAGTTCTCCAAATGTACTTTTAATATGTAAACAAATTACTGTGGTTGGTTAAAATAGCAGTGATGAGCTCAATGCTAGCAAATACTCACACTTAAACTGAAAGAAATTGCTTAGAATGTACATGGGCTGGTAAACTGAATAGATAAAGCTATATCCCATTTGAATGGCATAGCTCTCTGAGCAATATGGAGCAATTGAGATGTAGATAACAAATACAAAACACAATATTCAAATATTAATTTCTGAACTGCTTGTCTGCATTTAGTAAATATAGTTTTATTAAATTTATTTTGCTGTCCCAAGTTAATGAAATGAATACACACATCATCTATCCAGAAAACTTGGATTTATTTGAGGGGGGGAAGGTGGTGAAGCCTCCAGGATCATTTTTCACCAGTATAAGGGTTTTCTGCCATCTCCACAATTCTGATAAGACTTCACTGGGATGAAAGGTTCTTTTTCAAGCTTGCACTTAGCTTTTCCATGGTGGACTTATCCCTGAAAAATGGGTAATTTTAAAAGCTGGAGGCTTTGTATAACACAAACATTCTGTATTTGCATCAAATTTGTATCTCCTTTTGCTCCCTTGTATTAACTATCTTAAGAAGCAATATATAACATATTAGTATATTACTGTCATATCTAATTTGTTCCATAAATATTCACTCAACAATAATATGAAAGACTTTTTCTAAGCTAATAAAATACTTTAATTCATATGTGGTAGTATTGCCTCTTTTTAAAATTTGTATTTTAAATTTAAAATACAATTTAAAATTTTGTATCCTTGTATCACAATTGTTGATCATGTTACAGGCTACACAATTGAAACAAGTTTTAAGTGGGCATCAGAGCTTAGATATTTCCATGATTTTAATAACCTGATACTGCTGCTTCGTCCCCTAGTTTTAAAGTATATACTCTACACATTTTATAAAACTTGTCCACTGTACATGAATTTAGGAATTGTATTCATCCAATGTTCCTGCTGTTGTTGACACAGATGAGGCATACAGGGGTAGGATTAAAAATTGACATGCATCTCTTACCCCAAACCATGTTTGGCTCCTACTACAGTTTCATGGAAAACACATCTTCAGCGGGATTTCATGTGTGTTGCCGGGTGAGGTACAGTCACATATTGTAAAATGCTATCACATTGTTCCATGATTGGCCCATTTCACAGGTAAAGAAATCTCTTCCCCATTTCCCTTTTGATGCTGTTCAACTTCTGCAACAGTTGTAGGGTAGGAATGTAGATGCTGCTTAGTAAGGATAACCAGTTTATGGGGCAATTGAAGTGCAATGGGGAGCACGTTCATTACAATATAGTGTGCCCTGCCTGCCATTGGATTCCCTGCTCTTCTGGGAAGCTCCCCAGCCTGAAGTTGACCAGACACTGTATTTCCTTCATCCAAGAGAAGTTTTAGGCTGATCTGTCTACCTTGCCTCACGTCTTTTGTCACCTGCCTTATGTTAATTGCAGTTCCAGTTCATTCCTTGGATTAATCTGAGAAAGGTGGGCTAGAAGGACCTGGAGGCACTGAGGCAGAACCAAGTACATCAACCATCCCAGGCAGGTTATTAGTCTAAGCTGGTATTAGAAACCTCAGTTCCACAACCTCCTTCCAGTGCTTAATTATCCTTCTAGTTAGGTGAGAGATGTTATGAAAATTTTTCTAAATGTTTCTTGCTGCAGGTTAAATCCCTTGCTACTTGTTCTACCTTCAGTGGGCATGCAGAACACCTGATGACAGTCCCATTTATAACAGTCCTCAACTTGAAGTCTGCCAGGTTCCCCCTTTCCACTTAGATCAGGTTTCCTAAACCTGTTATCATTGCTGTTGATCTCCTCCGGACTCTGCTAGTCCACATTGCTCTTAGAGTGTTGCACCCAGAATTGTACACACCAGGCCTCACAAGTACCTAGCAGAGTGAGACAATTACCTCCTGTGTCTGATGTATGAATGTCTCTTTATATACCCCAGAATGATATTTGTATTCTCTTCCAACTGCATCATGTTGTTAGTGCATACTTAATTTCTGATAAACTATAACCACCAGATTCTTTTTAGCAATACTGCCGCCTAGCCAGTTACTTCCCATCGTCTGTTTGATTTTTTCCTTCCTTGAGGACAAGATGGAAGTGCCAGTTAAGCTCCCTGAATTCTGGCTCAGTAGCCTGTAATGTTCTCTGGTCCCAGTGGTTTGCTGCCACCAGGTGGTTGATAGAATACTTTCTAATATCCTCAATCCAGGATCAGAGTACATTTCTGTCACTTGGGGTGGGAGTGGAGAAAGGAGGCCAGATTTTGAGTCTCTTTGTTGTTGTTGTCAGTGTTTTATTTCCAATGTTTAATTTACAAGAACTTGATTTACCACCTTGCTTCCCGTCACAAACAGAGGGGAGGAGAAAACACTAGAAAGATTCTGGGGGCCCAGAATTGGAGGTGTGGTGCTTTAGAGATTCCAGAGCATGTTTCTTCCTGTCTCTGAGCCTGGTGCTATGCCATCTTCACAGACATAGTGAAGGCAAGGTGCAGGAGCAGCTGTCTGGCTGTGAGGCATGAGGCTATTCTGAAGCGGAATGAATGCTGCTCACGGTATCAGTAACTCCTGTACTCACCTTTTCTCTCCCCTTGAGGTAGAAGGGTGGGATTCTCAGAGATGCAGGCAAAGTAGTAATGTGGTGGCTGCTCTTAGCCTGGGGGTGTGGCCAGCAGCACCAAAGGGTGCAGTAAAGCTCCTGTTCCCTGTGGATTGGTCTCCTCTGCAGCCCAGCCCCTCCCCACCTCTCCTCCCATGAGAAGCATTCCAAAATACTGAATCATGCCATAGTGCAGCTCCCTGGTGGTAATTATTAATGGGCTTTGGGCAGTCTTTGCAATATAACTGAGACACGTTGCTCTGCAATGTCCTAAGGCAAAGGCTCTGCTCAAGTGTGAGCATTGAGGCATAAGAACAAATATTCTGTTCTGAGCATCTCAATGTCTCTAGCTTTCTGTCCATTGGATCAACGTGTTTTCCTACCCCTTGATCAGTGACTGAGTTTTGGGTAAGCCTTTCTCAAAACTGGAATTAAGCTCACTCCATAATATCTAGTACAGTGTTTCCCTAATGGTGTTCCTTGGAACCCCGGGGTTCCGCAAAGTGAAAATAAGGGTTCTGCAAGAAAATTCCATTACAATAACATTTTATGATTTAAAAATATATATATTTAAGCATTTATGAATGTTATTGACAATAATTTTCATTTGTGTTTGCCATAATAAGTGTCCCTGTGTAATGCCAGCTTAGCCAGAGTGGGGATGATGATATCACTACTCAGCGCTGCATATGCGGTCAGTCAGTGGTACGTTCGCCTGTTATATACAACCGTAAAACCCTGTACTCATTCTCAGGGAGCGTGGATCACATGGGTGACTGACTACGAATATACTAGCACCATATTGGACAAAGTCAAAGCTTCAGCTATCAAACCAGTTGCTTGTATGGGAGTGCGCAGGCAGTTCTCTCGCGAATGGTTTACTTCAGTATAGTCGCGTGATTTCTTGTATTTAAAAATTTAACTGTGACAAATAGAAATTGACTGATAGATTAATCTACATATCATGACCATGTTTAGCATTTGTTTATCATTATCCTTACTTATTTGTGGTCTACTTTGTCAGCTCCATATATTAGACTGTTGTTAGGAGTTCTGCAAAATTCTTTTGAGTTTAAAAGGGTTCCGTGGCCAAATAAAATTGGGAAACATTGATCTAGAAGCACTGAGATGTTATGCTGGTTTGCTAGGATGGACAGCTGCCTGCAGTCCTTAGTCCTGCTGACTAGCACTAGTACAGGTACAGCTTCAACTTCATCCCAACCTCTCAGGAGTAAGTACTAAGCATAAATAAGCAAGTCAAAGAATTGGTCCCCAAATGACAGGTATGGGTGCAGCATTGGTTCGGAATGCCTGTACCCTGGTTCAGGGGTGAATTAACCCTGTAATCTCTTTCCCAGTCTCTCTGTGGGCATCCTTCCATGTGACAGGTCCTCCCACAGGTGAACTCTGCATTTCACCCCACTTTAGACTGGATTACCACATCAGGTTACAAAAGGCCCTTGTCCCACCATGCTGTCACTGTGTGATCAGGTCTTTCTGCCCCCTTTGCAGTGCCTTGGGAGTGCACCCCTCAGGTGACAGGTTTCACTTCTTTCTCCTTTCTTCACCTACACTCAGACTGGTCCCAAGGTTTAGTACCACTTGGATTCTTGGATCTAACATGGGGAGAATTTACCTGCAGCCTGGTTGGAGCCAGATTGGGACATTTCCCAGTTAATAACTCCCCTGTTGTTGTTGTCCTAAGGATCTAATGGATTCCTTCTAGTGGTACCTTGTCTTTGTCATTGTTTTGTTTGCTGTTTATTTCCCCCCACTCACAAGTTCATTTGATCCAGTTCCAGGCACATAAGCAGGACAATATCAAACATCATAATATTGAGATAATATTAATTAAAAATAATACAGATAACCATGTAGTCTCCACAGCTTGTGTTTAGCAAGAATTTGGAAAGTGTTGCTTCCTGTATTTAGAACTGTTACACAGATTTCTTTGTCATTTCCACACTCGATGGACACACACCTTTACCCATTTCCTAGGGCTCAAGGTGTAACCCTGTTAATTTGAATACTCACCCGTACCTAATTCCTTGGGCTCAGAGTGTAACTTCTTTTGGGTTTGCAGGATCTTTTTACCACTGAAAGAGCCTTAAACAGTCTTATCCTTACTTGTTATTTATTAGCAGTTATTGAGCAAAGACAAGACACATGCTAAGCACACATGCCATGCTCACCAATCCTGATCAAGGCAGGCGAACTTCCCCTGTTGGCCAGGCAAGGTCAATCTCATCTGGACTCTGCTTGCTGCATGTTGTAGTCCTGCAGAAGGGTTTTAGCAGCTCTGGTCTTAGGCTTGGTCTTGGAGGTGAGTTTTTCTTCCAGATCTTTCCTCCTCCTTTCTGTTTCTTCTGTTCCTTTCTTCCTTTCCCTGATCTCCTTTTTGGACACCAGTTTATATAGTGAACCTTGAGTCCTGCTTAGCCATACCAATTATTTTACTAACATCTTATTAACCTATCATAACCTACTGTAACAGAATTACCTAACCAATCAGACCCAACCACCTTAGTTGATTTATGCCTAACAAAATACAGCAGACAGAAATAATTAAAGACCAGACAGAGATCATACGGGCAAACAATCGGAAAGTGAGAACCATAGTAATAGAAGGATTCCACAACTCCAACTATTGATAAGGGGTTTCTTACCAGAGGAAATGCTATTAAACTAAGGTTTTTTGTTTGGCTTGGGTTTTTTTTTTACTCCTCCTGAGACCTGTTTCTTTATCCAGTCAGAGTGGGTACCATTAGAAAGGGATCTCCTTAATAGCCTGGTATTGCACAATTTTAATGCAATTTAGATGGGATGGGAATATAGAATCATAGAACACTAGAACTGGAAGGGACCTTGAGAGGTCATTAAGTCCAGTCACCTGTCCTCACGGCAGGACCAAGCACCATCTAAATCATCCCTGACAGATGTCTGTCTAGCCTGCTCTTAAATAACTCCAATGATGAAGATTCCACAACCTCCCCAGGCAGTTCCAATGTTTAACCACCCCGATAGCTAGGAAGTTCCTTCCAATGTCCAGCCTAAATCACCTCTGCTGCAATTCAAGCCCATTACTTCCTGTCCCACTATCATGGTCAAGGAGAACAATTTTTTCCCTCCTCCTTGTAACACTCTTTTAGGTACAGGCAGTCCCCGAGTTACGCGGATCCGACTTATGTCGGATCCGCAGTTACGAACGGGGCAGTTCCTCTCCCTGGTCTCCAGCAGACCAGAGAGAGGAAGCAAAGCGGCGGAACACGTGGGCAGCGGACAGGGCTGTCCGCTGCCCACGCGCTCCGCGGCTTGGCTCTGCTTTGCCCCCCCCCTCCCCCTGGTGTGCAGACCAGGGGGACGGGGAGCAGAGCAGAGCAAAGCCGCGGAGCCTGAGGGCAGCAGGACAGTCCAGGCGCGTCTGGGCTGTCCCGCTGCCCCTGTGCTCCGCGGCTTTGCTCCGGATGCCTGTGGGACAG